CATCATGGTGTGGGGAGGGGCAGCCACCCAGAGGTGGTAGGGAGCAGGGCAGGCTCACAGTGGAGGTGGGTGGGGGTGGGGTGGGGCAGTTTGTGGCCACACATCCATCCAGTCTCCTGTCTGGTGCACAGAGCTGGTGCTGTCCCCTGGCCTGGGACCAGCCGTGGGCCTCTGCCTGGCCGACAGGTCCTGAGGCCTGCCTGCAAGGGAGAACCCCTGCGGCTTGGAATGAGAGAGCCTCAGGGGGGCTTGGGGAGCCTACCGAGAAGGGATACGGTAGGGCACCTGAGAGTGAGAAAATGGAGCTCACGCACCTAAGACCCCCCAAATGAGCAAGCACCCCCTTGTTCTGCGCGAAGCAGGACTTCCAGGCCTGCTGCTGCCGCCAAGCCAGCTCTCTGAGAGAGAAGGGAGGCTTCCCTGCTGGTTTCACCAGGGCTCCAGGCAGACGCAGGCGGCTTCTGCTCCCTCACCTGCAGCAGGGCTACGGTTTGCCTCTGGCATGGGCCTCTGTGGGGCTGTGGGCTTGCTTTAGCATCTTGCCCCTGGACCCACCACAGGCCCACAGTGAGTGGAAGTGCTGGGGGGCACAGCAGGGTGGGCCTGGGGGCACAACACCCAGCTCAGCTACTTCCATGTCACGTGACCTCAGACAAGTCGTTTCGGACTGCCGGGCCTCAGTCTACTCCTCTATATAACAGGGATAGAAATAATAACGGATTCAGAGGGTTGTCATGAGGGGAAAGTGAGTGAACACCTGGAAGACAGTTAACACAACCCCCACCGCCACGGCACACTGCATCTTATCAAACTCGAAAACCAAAATGCACTGCCGTTGGGGTGGGGTAGGGGGGATTCTGGCTCCTCTGGACCCCACAGGACCCTGTGGAACTGCCCCTGTGGGTTTCTGTACAAACATTCAGATGGAAGAGAAAGAGAAAAGATGGTCGTTGGGAGAGGCGGGTAGGGGTATACCTGGGAGAAAGTGGACTGGGAGAGGAGGAGGGGTGACGCACTGGCTGTCTGGGAGGGGACGCTGGCCTGCTTGTACCACGGAGGCGGCAGGAACAGCCGCTGCAGTGGAGGGCGCACCTACTGTGCACGGGGTGCTTCGCACACAGCCCTGCTCCCAGGAACTCTGTAGAGATCCTTGTCCCCTTGTGACAGATGAGGCAGTCCCTCCGTTACATGCTGTTTCTGTCTGTCCCTGCCAGTCCCCGACGGATAGGGTCGGGGTTTGAACGTCTGTCCACCCGACCTCAAAGTCAGTGTTCTCTGTGCACTGCACCCTCGCTTCCAGGACAACGGCAGCCTGTGGGACTTCTTGGGTCGGGAGTTAATGGGCAACTTGCAGCTCCCCAGGTTCCGGGACAGTCTGCGCAGTCAGCGATTGAGAGCCGAGACTGCGGGCAACGTGGACATGTCCTGGGAAGGCAGCGAGGCAGGGTCCTCCACCCACTGGGTCTGGTTGCCCGTCTCTCTCTTTGTTTCACTCTGGCACCAAGGAAGCAGTCTCACCCCTCTATGAGGGGCAATGGAGCAGAGTGCCCCTAAACTCAGCTGGAGCTGGGGTGCAGCATGTCCGAGATGTGCCCTTGCTGGGACTTCTTGTCCTTCTCTGGGACACGCGGAGAGCTGGTCGCCAGGTCTCATCTCTGCCGCTTGGGGCGCTTAGGAACTCAAGGGCTCTCAGCAGTGTGAGGGCTGGAGGGGTGGGGGGGAGGGCTGTTTGCAGAACTTCTTCCAGGAATTGCTTTTGGAAGACAGCCCCAGTTGGCAGCAGACACACCCGCACATGCACACACATGCGCACACACGCGCACACACGCGCTCACCCAGCGTTTCTGAGCGGAGTTTATATTGCAGACCCAAGTATCCCTTCTCAGCCTGGTAATAAACACTGAAGTTCAAGGGTGTTCCTTCTTTTCCCAGTGTCTGAGAACCCGGCTATGAGGGCAGCCGGGGGTGCAGAGGACCGGCTCTTCTTCCAAGTGTGAAGGCTGCTGGTCCCAGCAGGCAGAGGGTCCGGGCTGGGATGGGGCCCTGGAATCCCGTCCAGGGACTGAGCATTCCTAGGGGATGGAGTGGGTCTTGCAGAAGAAAGAGGAAGCCTCATGAGAGCCCTACTGGGGGGATTGCTGCTTCACCGTGCCCTGGGGAGAAGAGTCTGTCTCCAGCAAGATCTCTAACAAGGGCCAACGGAAAGGCCATTCTGTGTCCTAGGCTGGTGGCCAGGCCCTGTGCTCCACCTGCCAGTTGCTTACTGCGTGCCCAACGAGGTGTCCCCTAGAGGGGGGCGGGACTGACAAATGACACCCCAGAGACCTGATGGGTGACGTGTTGAGATGTTGTACGCAGTAGGTGCTGCTAGGAGAGGCCTGGGAGAGCTTCCCCAGGAGGTCGGCTGGGGCTGGACCCACAGGTGAGCCGAATTTGAATGGGTGGAGTAGCATTTCCCTGCTGAGCTGTGTCCTTGAAGCATGTGCCACCAGGGTGTCTCAACAGTCTGCCTGGGCCTAGAGTTGCCTCCCTGCCTGCAGGAAGTTCTCCTTTCTCACCTTCTGGAAAGGGAAGTGTGCCTGTCCCTGAAACCGAGCCCTTGGCCACCAGCACCCAGCAGTTAGCCTCCAGAAAATGTCCCAAGTGTGTGCGCCACATGCCCTCCCTGATCTCCCGCCGCCGCCGTCTCCCGACCTAACCCTGAGCTGAGGGTGCACCAGGAGGGGCATGGGACCCATCTTGGGCAGAAGACCTCGGGATTCACCCGTGGGACCCCCAGGGTCACTGCTGCCAACCAAGCTCGGAGCTGGAGTGGGAGGGTTCGGGGCTCAGGAGCCTGAGCCAGGTGGCCACGTCCAAGTTGAAAGCTGAGAAAAGGCTGAGGGAGGTGGCGGTGGAGGCAGCAGGACCCAGGAGGGGGCAGGAGGGAAAGAGGGTCTGCACAAATGGCTGGAAGGGGAGGGCGGATCTGACCTGGCCAGCTTCCCCGACGGCCACGAGGCAGGGGTCCGGCGTGGCCCCACCCTCTTCTGATACCCACCATCCCTTCCCTGACACTCTGGGCTCCAGAAATCATTGCAGCGGCTGCTGTACAGAACTCGCAGACACGTATGGGGGTTATTAGGGAAGATAACAGGTGACCACAAGCCAGCATGAGTAAACAGAAAGGGGACATTCATTGGTCCACAGCAACACCGCTCCACAGCCTCGGGGTCTGTGGGCCAGGCCGCCGCTCTGCCTCCTAGTCCCGATGTCCCGGCTGGCTCGGCTACTCTGCTACGTCTCTCAGTCTCCTTGCCCGGGCCTTGGGCCTCTGTGCTGTGGTCTGTGTGCCTCGGCCTCTGGGCCTCCAGTTCCGGCCTTCAGCACTTCAGACCGGGGTCTCAATTTGCTCCACCAAGGGCGTCTCTTCTGATGGGCGTGGTCTCTGTTCCTGAGATGGCTCTTGCACACATGGGAATGGCGGAGAGGGAGGTGGGTGTTCTTTCAGCAGACCGTACCCCGCCCCCCCAGGAAACAAAGAGCGATGGCTTGGTTCTCACGCTCCAGTCGGGTGGAGATCAGCAGTCACCGTCTCAGAAAAACCCCAGGGTCGCCATGAGTCGGCCTTGACTCGATGGCACTGCGCTTGGTGTTTGTGTGTTCGATTCTGCCCATCAGCGGGGCAGGGCACGCCCTCCCAGATGGGCTTCTGGCAGCGAGGCCAGAACTGATGCTACATCTCAGAAGGGATGCCGGCTGGAAGGGCCCCGGGGTGGGATTCAGCCAGTCCACAATGTTTCCGGAGAACCAGTCCCTGATGTTTGGTTGAGTTCGGCGAACCGGTTGTTCTAATGGCACTTGTAGTCAAGGTTCTCTCTATGGTCGGCGGCTGGGCAGCACCCCCAAATGTGGAGATCACAAGTTTACCTTCCTTACTCTTTCATTTTTTAAAAATCATTCCTCTGTGCAATCGTGGTGTTCTGATCCGATATTGAAATCGTGAACTGCCTTTCAGTGTTTCTCTTTTTATAGTTAAAGTGGTGATTAGGACAGCGGACCGGCTCTCCCGGTGTAACAGAGAAGGGAATGGTCCCCGAAAGCCAGGAGCAGTAAATGCTAGGGATCCATCCTTTACCCCCGACAACGTCCCAGGCCCTCGCTACAGCATTTTCAGGCTGTGGTTCATATGGCCGCTTCACAGTGCCCGCCGGATCAGGATCAGAGGCCACCTCAAGGCCGCCCAAATCCTGAGGGAGCCTCTCCTGGTCTCCTTCCTCTGCCCACCTGTGGAACGCCCCCTTCTGCAGGCTTCTCCTTCCCAGCATTTGTAGTGCAGCCTTACCAGCGCACTCTCCCAGCTCTGCCCTCCCCTCCGCACCCCCTACCCACCCTCCACTCCGAAATCCCACCCATGGGAGCCTGCATGCCTGCCCAGGGGAGACTGGGGGCCACAGTGAGGGCATGGTTCAGGTGAACGAGGACCACTGTGGCTTCCTTCTGTGGGCTGCACTCCAACAGAGTGCCATAGCTGAGTCTCAGCAGGTCGGAGAAGGAGGGGGGAGCTGGGAACCCCTCTAAGTCTACATGGGGGGTGAGTTGGAGAAGGAATGCAGGGGCCGGGGTGGTGTCCACTCTTTCAGTTAGCGTCTGGTAGACCAGAAAACAATAAAAACCTTACTGCCAACGACGGACGACTCAGAGCGACCCTGTAGGACAGGGTAGAGCTGCCCCGTGAGTTTTCCCAGACTATAACTGTAAGCGTTTACGGGGATAGAAGACCCTCCTTTCTCTGTCGTTTAGAACTGCTGACCTTTTGAATTGAGCCCGATAGGTAACCACTACGACACCAGGGCCCCTAGCCTTGGTGCTACTCCTATCTCTACGCCCTGCTGTCCATCAACGCCACCTCCTACTTTAGGGGCTCACGCTGAAGAGGAGCCTGGGTTGATCCTGTCTCCTACCTCCTGCCCCTCCTCCCGCGCTGCAGGCCCTTCACTCCATCTCTCCTCTCTCTACAGATGGGACCCAGGTGAGCCCGGGCACCCACTCTGCCAGACCGCCTGGTGCAGGTAAGAGCGGGGCCTGAGGGAGGCTGTGGAGGAGGACTGAGAGATGGGCAGGAGGCAGGCACGACGGGGCCCTCAGGGGTTGGCGAGGCAGGGTGGCGAGCTGGTCAGCTGGAGGGTTGGGAAGCTGTGGTCTCAGGAGAAGGGGTGAGGAGTGGGGACAAGAGAGGCCACTCTGGACCCAGGCTGGTCCCTGTGCCGGGCAACAACACACAGGAAAGGGAAAGACAGGGCATTCTGGCCCCCGCTGGGTGTACTAAAACAGGAAGGGGAGTCGGGAGCTGATATTTATATACACCCAGACCTCTGCCTCACCTCAGGCACTGGGCCAGGCATGGTCTTGTGTGTTGACTCATCCATGCCCACAGCAGGCCTGTAAGGTGGCCCTGGAGGGCCCGCGGCTTGGAAATCGCCCCATGGTGCTTGGGTGGGTGAGGATCCCCTCCCCTTGGCGCACACCCTGCCTCACCGTCTCCCACTGCTGGCCTGGATCTCCTCTGCTGCGAGGCTGCCCAGGGAAGTACTGGGAGCTGCTGGCTTCCCAAAAGTGGGGGGCTGTGGGCAGGGTGACCCTAGTTCAGAGGGCAGACAGTCCATGGGCCCATGTCAGCTCGTGGCTGAGGTGGAGCACCCAGGTCCAGATGTAGGAGATCATGTGGAGAGAAACCAGGCTAGGAGCCAATTGTGGAGGCCTGAGACGTGTTCCCAGGCTTCCAGGCAGAGCCCTGCCTGCCGCTGCAGCTTCTCTGGAGGCTGACCCGTGCCGAGAACGAGGGTGGGTCACGTTAGCAGGGAGCCCCCTCAGGACGCTGGAACCAGTGGCAAGGTTATGTGGGTGCCCGAGGCCCACACTGAGGGGAGTGATCGTCTGGATTCCCCCACGTGAACGCACACACAAGGTTGGGGGTACTGCAGCCAGGCACTGCCTGCTGGCTCTCTCTGTTAGGGGACACAGAGCCGTGCCCTCACCTCCAATCTCTGGTATCTGGAGCGTCGTGACAGGCATGCCCTTGCTTGGCTGTTCCCTCGTGACTGTCTCTCAGCCAGAACACGCCAAAGGGAGAGAAGCTGATGCAGGCCCTTCTCCCTTGCCCGGGGTGTGAAGCTCCCCCAAGCAGAGGCAACTTCCTGAAGGTCCATGGACCTGAGAGGGTTGGCATGGCTGGAATCCGTGCTCCTGCCTAGCTGGGTTGCCTCAGACGGGCCCATCCCCTCTGAACCTCAGTTTCCTCGGTTGGGATAACAGAATAGGCATCTCTAGCTCCCAGGGCAATTTGGGAAAGACTTAGAGACACGCGCGCACAGATACCGCAGCTGTTAAGGCTGTGATTTGCAATGGGCAGTGAGGCCCAAGCAGTGGCGCTGAACCTTTTGACCAGGCCCCAAGGACAGCCTATGGCTGCCCTGTTGTGGGATGTCCATCTTTGGACGAGCTGGAGGGGTCACTTCTCTCAGGCCCTCTCTGTCAGAGGGCAGCCTGCTCCCACCCTCACCTGCCCCGTGCCTAGGACCTTTCCTGCCTGGCAGCAGCCTCACCTCTGAATGTCTCTTTAGTTGCTGGCTGCTCGGCCTCGCCTGGCCCCACGGAGTGCACAGGCAGAGAACCTGCTCAGGCAGACAGTTATAAATTGTCCCTGTGCCCACAGCCTTGGCAGGGTGTGCCTGGTGTGGGTCCTGAGGACACTTGAGGGGCAGTGGAGCTTGCCGTCCTCTCCATGCTGGGCCCAGGGCTGGCAAGAAGGGCCCCTGGGAGCAGGCTCCGTACCTGCGCCGGCCCAATGAGCTGCAAATGAGGCTCGGCAGGCCCAGGGCTCTGGCCAGGTGGCGATCGGTGTAAGGCATCACCTCTTCATCCCATTGCTCCAGAATCGTGTCTGAGAGCATGTGCCCTCTGAGAGGGGCCAATGGGGGTTGAGAAGGAGCCGTGAGAGCAAGGGCAACAGGGGGTGCAGAGCAAACACGGGAAGGCTGCAGCCCACCGCTGACTCCCTCCGCGAGGTGAAGCGCCCCCGCCCCAGCCCTGAAAAGCAACCGACTTTGTGGGAAGCACTGTTTTGGAGTCTGGAGAGTGCATGTGAAACCCCGCCTGCGAATGACTGCAGCTGTGTGTGCCAGCCACAGGAGCTCCTGTCTCATGAGGAAAGTGGATCTTGGATACCTCCCTTGCAGGATTCAATCAAGGAAAGGCTCCACCAGGAGGTGGGGCTGCTCAGGCTACTGTAACCAGGTGCCCTGTGCACAGACCGACCTGCCCTCTTTCTTTCTGTGTCTGTCCGCAGGCCACCTCATTTCCAGTGCAGACACGCCAGGCCCTCAGCCCCAGCCCATGGATCTGCGGGTGGGCCAGCGACCCCCCGTGGAGCCTGCTCCAGAGCCCACCCTGCTGGCCCTACAGCACTCCCAACGCCTGCACCAGCACCTCTTCCTCGCTGGCCTGCAGCAGCAGCAGCAGCGTGCTGTGGCACCCCTGAGGGTAAAGAGACACCCTGCCCCACTGGCCTCTCCCTGCAGCCTTCCCCAGTCCCTGGTCCCAGCCCCTCAACTCCTTGCCCTGTCCGGGAATGCCGGCTCTGCCTACAGCTCTCCATGGATACACAGATGCCCGAGCTGCAGGTGGGGCAGCAGGAGCAGGAACTGCGACAGCTTCTCAATAAAGACAAGAGCAAGCGGAGTAAGGACCACGGCTGTGTGTGTGTGTGTGTGTGTGTGTGTGTGTGCACAGTGGGCGCAGGGTTGCAGTGTCCCCGCACACCGACTACCAGCCCAGCCCGCCCTCTCTCTGTGCCTGCCTAGCTCTGCTTGTGAACGTGGGAGTGAACTTTGTGGGAGGGTAGCACAGTGGAGGCCTCGGGACACCTCGTCCTGGGGTATGGACAGGGCGATGGGCACAGTATGTGCCAGGGCACCAGCTGTCCGCCCACTCTGGCCTGCTGGGGCTTCTGCTCCCCTCCCCGGCAGGTGCCATAGCCAGCAGTGTGGTGAAGCAGAAACTGGCCGAAGTGATTCTCAAGAAGCAGCAGGCAGCCCTAGAGAGAACCGTGCACCCCAGTAGCCCTAGCATTCCGTACAGGTACCCACCACCCGCCTCCAGCTCCTCCTGCGCCCACCCTGCCCATTCCTCCTGGGAGCCCGTACCCCTCACTCACCCCCCTTGTGGGCTCCCCACATGCTTGTCCCCCAAACTGACATCCAACTGACACCAACCTCCCCCGCATCTCCAATCTCCTCGAGGCCTTCCTGCCTGCACGTGTGGGGTCCTACCAAGTCCTCACTCACTCCCTTCTCTCCTTACACCTTCCCCTAAACAAAACCACGGCCCAGCTGGCTCCCTGAGCAGGTTCCTACCTCTGAGAGGGAGGTGAGCCCAGTCCCTCCTGGCGCTCCCCGGCCTCTAGGCTCAGATCTGCTTACTGAGCTGCCAGGAGGAGCCCGCCCCTGTCCAGCCCTGCTGGCCGCATCCTCCACTGACCAGGGCACAGACCAAGAAGCATGAGGGCCCCGGGTGGGGCCGGGCTCAGGGAGGGTGCCCCGGTGCGGAATGGGTGCCATGGCTCAGAGGGCACCTGCACAGGGGACGGAGGTGGTGCCCCCACCCCCCAATGGAGCAGCCTGGGCACTTCCTCCACAGAACGCTGGAGTCCTTGGAGCCTGATGGGGCCACCCGCACCATGCTCAGCGGCTTTCTGCCTCCCGTTCCCAGCCTGCCCAGTGACCCCCCAGAGCACTTCCCCCTGCGTAAGACAGGTGAGCAGGACACACTGGGCCGGGGCAGCAGTGGAGAGTGGGGTGGGGAGGCAGAAGGGAGGGGGTGGGGCCGGCGTAATGCTGTTGCCCTCGCCCCCGCAGTCTCTGAGCCCAATCTGAAGCTGCGCTACAAGCCCAAGAAGTCCCTGGAGCGGAGGAAGAACCCGCTCCTGCGGAAGGAGAGCGCTCCGCCCAGTCTGCGAAGGAGGCCAGCAGAGACCCTTGGGGGTGAGGGCCCGCAGTTTGGGCTGGGGTGATGGCCTCAAAGTTGGCTGGTTTTGCCCCTTTGGGTCATCCTTGCCCCCTGGCCTTGGAGCCTCAGCGCCCCGTTGGTGGTTATACCAAGGTCCCCCGCAAGGGCCCAGAGCTAGGGCCGACGCTCCTGACAGATGTCGGGCAAAGGCGTCCTTCTGAGAAGAATGCAGGAAGCAAGGGCCACCTATGAGGGCAGGGGGCTGGTTCTGCCCGCCTGCTTATCCACCCCTGGCATCTGACCGCACGCCCCCTCGCCTCCCCCCAGACTCCTCCCCTAGCAGCTGCAGCACGCCCGCGTCAGGGTGCAGCTCGCCCAACGACAGCGAACACGGCCCCAGTGCCATCCTGGGCCCCGAGGTAAGGCCTGGCTGAGTTTGGGCTCTCCGGGTGGGTCTGAAGCCCAGCGCTGCTTCACAGACCCCCACTGGAGCCCCTGAAGCTTCTGGGGCCAGCCTGCCCAGGGGCAGCGGTCTGGGAGCGGTGACCCCTCACCCTGCTCCCCACGGCAGGCGCTCTTGGGCCAGAGGCTGCGGCTGCAGGAGACCTCTTTGGCTCCGTTCGCCTTGCCGACGGTGTCCTTGCTGCCCGCAATCACTCTGGGGCTGCCCGCCCCTGCCAGGGTGAGTGGCCGGGGGCGCCCCTCCCCGACTCCAGGCTCCCGCAGCTTTGCCCCCCCCCCTGCCCCCCCACAACTACCTTCCTTCCCTACCACCTTCCTCTACTCACCTTCCCTGCTCCTGTGCCTTCTGCACTGCACCCGCCTGTGACCACACCTCCCCTCTCCCCCAGGCGGATGCAGATCGCAGGACTCATCCAACCCTGGGACCTAGGGGGCCGGTCCTAGGGAGCCCCCATACTCCCCTCTTTCTTCCCTCTGGTCTGGAGCCCGAAGTTGGGGGCACCTTGCCGTCGCGCCTACAGCCCATTCTCCTCTTGGACCCCTCTGTCTCCAACGCCCAGCTGCTGACTGGTGAGTCCCCTTGCTCCCTGATCGGGGGCTGGGCCCCTCCCTGCACCCCACTGCCTGCCCTCCTGTGTTGTCTCACCCGTCCCCCCTGCCGTCCCCATGCCCTTGCTGCTTTCATTGCCCTGGAGGGTCCCTTCCTTATGCCCCACCCCGTTCTTTCCAGTGCCCGGGTTTGGGCCCCTGCCCTTCCACGTGGCCCAGTCCTTACTGACCACCGAGCGGCTCTCTGGGTCAGGCCTCCACTGGCCACTGAGCCGGACCCGCTCAGAACCCCTGCCCCCCAGCACCACCGCCCCCTCACCGCTGGGCCCCCTGCAGCCCCTCCTGGAGCAGCTCAAACCTCACATCCAGCTGATCAAGGTGAGGGGAAAGCAGGAGGGGAGCTGGGCAGGGGAGCTAGGGAGAGGGAGTTCACTGGGATCCTGGCAGCTGAACCAGAAAGGGGGAGCACGGTCCCGGAGGAGGAGAGCATGTGCCTCTGGGGCCCAAGCTGCCGAGGGGCTTCAATCCTAGTGACTGCCTAGGCCAATCACCCCTCCTAGCCCGGTGCCCTCACTCTAGCATGGCTGCTCAACTCCGGAGTCTCCCTTCCCCAGAGGCCGGCCAAGCTGAGTGAGAAGCCCCGACTGCGGCAGATTCCCTCTGCTGAGGACCTAGAGACAGATGGTGGGGCCGGGGACCAGGTGGGAGGCGACAGCCTGGAACACAGGGAATCCAACCAAGGGCAGCCGGAGGCCAGACGCCCCCTTCCCCTTCATCCGCACCAGCAGGTACGACGGGCGAGCCCACGTGTCATGATCAGAAGACAGGGGACCTGGGATGGGGGGGCGGGAGCGGGGGGCAACTCCAGGACACAGATCCTGGCATGCCGCATCCACACCAAGGTGTACACACATACCTGTGACTACACACCCACACCCATGCAGGCCCATGCGCACATACTCACACGCTCCAGCAGCTGCCAGTGTCGGGGGAAGCCACGGTGAGGCTGGCCTCTCACGGACCGCTCACACCCTGCCGCTGTGCTTTAATGCCTTGGCAGGAGTCTTGATGCTTTGAGGATAGCGGGGGCACAAGTGGGCCAAGCCAGGCTCCAGCCCATCAATCCCATCATGCTCTCTCACCGTGGCACCCTTGCACCCTTGGGCAGTTGTGGTCCTTGGGGACAGGAGCCACTGCTGGGCATGAGGCCTCTCACCTGGGCTCCAGCTTTGGAGGCCCAAGGATTCTGGGAGTTCCAGGGGACCTGGGGGGATTGGTGTGTGAAGTGGACCTTTGGTGGCTAGTAGGGGGAGGGGCCTCAGAGCATCAGAGGCTGTGTCCAACAAGGAGGGAGGGCGGCCATCCTGGAATCGCACCCCAAAAGGAGGCCGCCTAAAGCCTATCGGGACTGCCGACAGCGGCCGGTGGAGCAGAGTCTCGAAGTCCCGACAGTTGACGCCCCCTCTTTCCCTCAGGTGTTCCTCTGGGAGCAGCAGCAGCAGCAGCAGCAGCAGCAGCGACTAACAGGGCGGCTGCCCCGGGGAGGGCCTGGGGACTCTGTGCTGCTTCCCCTGGCCCAGGGTGGACACCGGGCCCTGTCCCGAACTCAGTCTTCGCCCGCTGCGCCTGTCTCGCTGCCAGCCCCGGAGCCTGCCAGCCAGGCCCGCAGTCT